GGAGTTTCTCTCTCTCTTTTTTTAAAGATTTCATTTATTTATTTGAGAGAGAGAGAGCACGAGCAGGGGAGGGGGCAGAGGGAGAGGGAGAAGCAGACTCGCCACTGAGCAGGGAGCCCGATGAGGGGCTCAATCCCAGAACCCCGGGATCATGAGCCAAAGGCAGATGCTTAACCGACTGAGCCACCCAGGTGCCCCAAGAGTGGGAGTTTCTTAAAAGTTTGTTGCAATCTGAAATATCAGTGAATTTTTTGTACTCAGTTACATGAAAATCCTTTGGTTTATCCTATACTTTGAATGAGTCTTTTACCCAGGAATGATTTTTGACCTCGCAGAGCCTCTGAAAAGGTCTTGAGAACTCCCAGAAGTTTCTAGACCACCTTTGAGAACCACTATGTTAGAGAGAAAAGGGCTGCCAGAGCTTAGGGTTCATCAATGAAACCACAAAAATGAACAGATTTGAATATATTGCATTAAAATTTAACATGTCTTTTTTTTAAAGTATAATCCAAGTTAAATGTAAACCAAAAATTATGAACAAATATAAATATAAGTACAACACAGGGGTAAATAGTTTTAATATTTAAAGAACTTGCAGATCAATAAGTAAAGCATGAATATAACATAGATTATTGAGGACAGGACATGAACACAAGAGTTCATGGGAGAAAATAACTTAACATGGAAAAATGCTCAACAAAGACATAAAAATGTATATAGAAACCAAAAATAACCTATTAAAAATGTCAGATTAGCAGAGAAGAGGGCAATGAAATTGGCATTCATATATTACAGCTAGAAATATATTTAGGCGCAAGATTTGAGGGAACAGTTGAGCAAACCGTATTAACAGCCTTCAAAAATATCCATGCCCTATGTCTTCTGAACATCTATGTTAAAAGATTTTATATGAAAAATGCTTTGTGGAAGAAGATGCTTTTGATGGCATTTATTATAGAAAAGAACCTAGGGAATGATTAAATTATTTATGGTTTAACCTACCCAGTAAAAGATTAAACAAACATTGGAGATAAAACTTCACAATGTGTCTACCATATAAAGGAAAAAATACTTATGCTATAATATTAGGTGAACAAAGTAAGATTCAAAAATTAACTATTCAGCACGATAAAACTATGTTTAACAACAACAACAACAACAACAACAAAACACTAAACTGGTAAAAGTACTGGAGGGAAGTCTAGCCAGTTGATGACTGTTTTTTGATGTTAGCACTCTGGTTGTTTTCTAGCTTTTTCTATTTTTCTGAATTTTCTAAAATTTTGACAGCATTTTTTATCATGCAAAAATGTATGCTTTTTAATTTTTTTAAAAGATTTTATTTATGGGGCACCTGGGTGGCTCAGTTGGTTAAGCGCCTGCCTTCGGCTCAGGTCATGATCCTGGAGTCCCTGGATCGAGTCCCGCATTGGGCTCCCTGCTCGGCAGAGAGTCTGCTTCTCCCTCTGACCCTCCCGACTCTCCCCCCTCTCATGCTCTCTCTCTCTCTCATTCTCGCTCTCTCAAATAAATAAATAAAATCTTAAAAAAAAAAAGATTTTATTTATGTATTTTGAGAGAGAGAGCACGCATGAGCAGGGGGAGGGGCAGAGGAAGGGGGAGAGAGAGAACCTCAAGCTGACTCCATGCTCGAGTGGAGCCCAACGTGGGGCTCTACCCCAGACCCTTTATGCCATTCATCAGCCTGGCATCTGCCTCTGTGACAGGAACTTCTTTCTGGTCTGCTCCGTGTTAACTCTGTTACTGAGATTCCATTTGAAGTCTTTTATTAGCCAGTGTTGTAGGCTTTGGCAGCCGGTAGTCTCCAAGTCATAATTATGGCTCAAAAGCCACTAAAGGGGTCTATTTGGTATGGAGAGGAAGGGCAGCTGTTGACTTTCCTGGAGCCCTGTCCCAGGGGTCCCCAGCCCCGCCTCCAAATACACATCAGAGTCCTCATCAGCTGATCTCAGAGTCAGCCATGAGCTCTCTAACCCCAGTTCCAGGAGGGGTAGAAGAAACAGACAGGTTTGGGATCTTACAAGTCTTTCCCTACTTCAAAAACGGTAAGAGGGCACCAGCACAATCCTCGCTCTCTTCCCAGTTTGAGAGCTCTCTCCGGCACTTCTGGCACTGCAATTGCCAAACCTCAAGCAATATTCAGCCCCCACTGGAGCCAACAGGGCTTCTCTTTGGTTAAAAAATGGTGACCCCATGGTCAACTAATCTTTGACAAAACAGGAAAGAATGTCCAATGGAAAAAAGACAGTCTCTTCAACAAATGGTGTTGGGAAAATTGGACAGCCACATGCAGAAGAATGAAACTGGACCATTTCCTTACACCACACACAAAAATAGACTCCAAATGGTTGAAAGACCTCAATGTGAGACAGGAGTCCATCAAAATCCTAAAGGAGAACACAGGCAGCAACCTCTTCGACCTCAGCCGCAGCAACTTTTTCCTAGAAACATCACCAAAGGCAAGGGAAGCAAGGGCAAAAATGAACTATTGGGACTTCATCAAGATAAAAAGCTTTTGCAAAGCAAAGGAAACAGTCAACAAAACCAAAAGACAACTGACAGAATGGGAGAAGATATTTGCAAATGACATATCAGATAAAGGGCTAGTATCCAAAATCTGTAAAGAACTCATCAAACTCAACACCCAAAGAACAAAGAATCCAATCAAGAAATGGGCAGAAGATATGAACAGACATTCTTCCAAAGAAGACATCCAAATGGCCAACAGACACATGAAAAAGTGCTCAATATCGCTCGGCATCAGGGAAATCCAAATCAAAACCTCAAATGAGATACCACCTCACACCAGTCAGAATGGCTAAAATTAACAAGTCAGGAAATGACAGATGCTGGCAGGGATGCGGAGAAAGGGGAACCCTCCTACACTGTTGGTGGGAATGCAAGCTGGTGCAGCCACTCTGGAAAACAGTATGGAGGTTCCTCAAAAAGTTGAAAATAGAGCTACCATATGATCCAGCAATTGCACTACTGAGTATTTACCCCAAAGATACAAAAGTAGGGATCCGAAAGGGTACGTGCACCCCTATGTTTATAGCAGCAATGTCCACAATAGCCAAACTGTGGAAAGAGCCAAGATGTCCATCGACAGATGAATGGATAAAGAAGATGTGGTATATATACACAATGGAATATTATGCAGCCATCAAAAGGAATGAGATCTTGCCATTTGCAACGACGTGGATGGAACTGGAGAGTGTTATGCTGAGGGAAATAAGTCAATCAGAGAAAGACATGTATCATATGACCTCACTGACATGAGGAATTCTTGATCTCAGGAAACAAACTGAGGGTTGCTGGAGTGGGGGGTTGGGTGGGAGGGATGGGGTGACTGGGTGATGGACACTGGGGAGGGTATGTGCTCTGGTAAGTGCTGTGAATTGTGCAAGACTGTTGAATCTCAGATCTGTACCTCTGAAACAAATAATGCAATATATGTTAAGAAAGAAAAAAAAGAAGAAGAAGAATGTAGCAGGAGAGGAAGAATGAAGGGGGGGCAATCGGAGGGGTAGACTAACCATGAGAGACGATGGACTCTGAAAAACAAACTGAGGGTTCTAGAGGGGAGGGGGGTGGGAGGATGGGTTAACCTGGTGATGGGTATTGAGGAGGGCATGTTCTTCATGGAGCACTGAGTGTTATGCACAAACAATGAATCATGGAACACTACATCTAAAACTAATGGTGTAATGTATGGGGATTAACATAACAATAAAAAATTTTTTTAAAAATGATGACCCCAGGGTGCCTGGGTAGCTCAGTCGTTTAAGTGTCCGACTCTTGATTTCAGCTCAGGTCATGATCTTAGGATCATAAGATTGAGCCGCGTGTCAGGCTCTGAGCTGGGCATGGAGCCTGCTTAAGATTCTCTCTTTCCTTTGCCCCCCCCACCTCTAATTAAAAAAAAAAATAATGACCCCCCCTTCCCATACACCACTTCCTGCTACCATAAAAAGACATGTTTTTAATTGTAAGGTGCTTATATTCTAGGTGCATAAGGTAAGTGTTTTGCAAATATCTTGAGGACATTTCAAAATCCCGCAGGGTTAAATAGATAAGTGGCTTCCAGTGATTGGTTCTGGGAGTTACTAATAAAATGTTTCTGTCTCAGTAAAGCTGACAGCCATCTAGTGGTTACACACTATGGGAGAGCTCTTTGTCCTATGGTTCCTGAACATGATAATGGAAGAGTGATTTTATGACACGGTTTTTAGTTCTTAGAATAATTTATATATCATGAAAACCTACGATAGCATAAACAGGGAAGGACAATGCAGACTCTTCTGCTTGAGGAAACACGCTACTTAGCCTCAGTCCCACAGCCACAGCGATCCCAAACGCAAAATCAACCAAAGACACACACAATACTCGCTTTGTCCTATGTCTTCCTAACCAGTTGTCTTCATATTCTTTCTGCCCTAACAGTTGCTTCAGGAGTGAGGGGAAAAAAAAGAGAGAGAGAGAGAGAGGATCCACTGTCCCTTCCTTGACACTACGATGAGTGTCCCAGGGACAGAACACCCACTGCCCTGTCCTCGGTGCTACTATGGCCGGTGTCCTGTCTCAGATTTTTCTGTTCCACAACCATAACCTAGGGGTCCACTGTGGTTCCCATCATCAGAAGCACTTGCTGCAAACCCCAGTATCGAATATCAAAAGCTGCATCACAGCAGACATATACTAGTTTCTAAAATGTTCTCATTTATCTCATTTATCTAATATTTTTCCCGTGTAACCAAATTTATAGGCACATGTAACTAATCATCAGAATTAGAACATAGCCATCGCCTAAGCTGGAAAATAGAAATGATCCTTCCAGGAAGGGGTTAGATTTTCTCACCATTGATTATAAAATGTATGTGTCTTCCCTACAATATAGTTGGAGCATTATTTTTAATGACCCAAACTCTCCTGAAAGTAGATTTCAAAAAAATGACTTGAAACTGATTTTTCTATCATAGAATTACACGGTTCCTTCTGGTGACTTGTTGATGTTGTCTCCATTTTGGCTGCATAGAAATCCAAAATATTTTCCTGAACCTGAATTGTTCAAACCTGTAAGTTATCTCTTTCAATATACATTGTCCTTTGATTTTAATTTCTTTTAAACCAGGAGTATGAATTCATAGATTAACTATCCCTCTATCATTAAGCATCCCTATTCTCTGGTAACTAACAACCAAGTTGACTACAAAGGAAAAATTTAGACTTGTAATATGGATGGTATAACACAAATGAGATAGAAAAGTTTTTTAAGATTCACCAACTTTAAAATAAATGACCTGAAACCAGCAAAGTACATGAAAGTAAATATGTCTGGTTCTGACAGAAGACTTATTTTATATTTGTCAGGCAAATTGGTTTTGTTATTGGTTTCCAAGGAGTATAACAAAAGAAGAACAAGGCAAATTAAAACTACTTTGCTGTATCTTAAAATTGAGGAGTTATGGGGCTGAGCAGAATCTTAAGAGTTCATTTAGTCCATTCTCTGCCTTTAGGTAAACTTTTTAAAAAATGGCATCCAAATGTATTCATTCCACATCCCAAGTTCCCTCCAGTAAGCAGGACTGCCAGTAACTGACTGAATTTATTACCAAGGGCAATTCTGTGATGGAGCCTGAGACCTTATTATAAATAGTCTTCCTTTTCTGAGGTCAATTCCGTGGTTGATTTACATTATCATTTACATTTACCACTTAAGAGAATTCTTTTTAAACCTTTTTTATTTATTGGTTCACATTCCAAAAACACAATTGTGTCTGATATTAATAACAGGTTGGGAAAAAATTACCAACAGCCCTGCAACTTTATATGCAAGGATTAGCTGTACAAAGTCATTTTTAGCCTAGAGAAATAAAGTTAAGCTTATTTATATAAGGCTGATTTGGAAAAAAAAAAAAATGCTTTCTTCCCACAGGAACGTTGGAAAAAGGCAAACTTAGAGAAGCATGCTTTCTTGGACTGGTTCATGGCATTTGGAAGTGGGAAGTACCAGTGTCCTGGAAGGTCAGTGAGACAGCTGGGCCACATTTATCCAAAAAGTCTAAGAAAGATGATGGCTCTGAGGGGGGGGACATTTTGGCTTAATCACCCTTTTCTTTATTATCAAACTACAGGGAGATCCAGGAGACCGCGTTTTGTTTGGTTGGCTAGTTGTATTGTGCGATATCTTTGTGGGAATGTCTACAGTGGCTTCTGATGAACCTCATGAGAACAAAAATATTATAATTGCTGCTACATGATGAAAGCAGGGTTATTAAAAATTTTTTTATAGAATGGATTAGAGTGGGGTGTAACTTAGGTTATATAATCATGCTTATATTCCATGTGAGAGACATGGAGTGGTAGGATCTACCAGATTGGGAAAATAATCAGAAATAGGATGGGTCAAGGGGAAGGATTTGTGGAGGACTGTGGCTTGAATGTAGGTGGCTGGAAGACGTGATGGAAATAGAGAAATCAGGAACAAGAGCAAGTTTGGTGGACGAGATGTTAAGTTTTCCTTTGAAAACTACTTAGTCTGAGATGTGGCAAGTATGTATCATATAACCAAAGTCTGTAGGTTAAATCTGAATGTTGAATAAATGGAACAATAAATAAAACCTCCATAGTCTAGTTTTTCTGCTTTTAAAAGTCCTTAACTTTTCTATTTAAGTAGCCAAACCATGAAACGTTGTTTCTGAAGACAGAAAAGCAGAATTTTTCAGGAAAGTGATGACTTCATTTGGACAGTGTTCTAGCAAGATGGATCTTTGCACTAGAAACTTAATCCCATAGATCTTTAGTATAATCCTCAGAAAACTGCACCCATTCTAAATTTGTATACCAAGAGCCAATTTATCTTCTCATATACCAAATCCATAGTGAGTCAGAGAAAATTGCCTTTAAAGTAACTGACGATCAAAGTTCATCATGAACACGTAGCCTTATGGCCTTGCATCTGTCACCCCTTGGAGTTCTGGCCACTGAAGCAGTATGAGAACCCCTCTCATTAATGAACACAGAAGGTTTTGCTGAATTTAGTAAATAAGTATTCAGTGCTGCTATCAGCTGCCAACCAAAAATCACAATGGAAGAATATTGTTCCTGCTCTGAATAATGGGAATGATGGAAATATGTTTGGAGGAAGAACCCCTGCTAAGCACTTCCCCATTGCTGGGAAACCCTTGGAAACAGGTAGGAAGGGAACTCTTCCCAGGAATTCTATTGCTGGAGAAGTCTGGTAGTTTTGTAGAAAAACAGGAGAAAGCAGCAAGAACTACCAGACTTCTTCAGCAATGGTAGCATGCAGAATGAGGAGTTCGCCTTACAGTGGACATTCTCTTCTTAAACTAGGAATTTAAATGAAGGAATAGAACAGGGGATTTCCAGTGTCGAGTGGATATCTCTGAGAGTTGATGATCTCAGCACAAAGGAATGTGCTTCCTGTATTGTGCTTGTGTGGGCAGACACACACACATACACACACCACCCTCCATCCAACAGCCTTAATTTCCCTTGCTTCCCATCCCTGCAAGAGGATGCCTGGTGGGCTGTCTCACTGTGGTCGCTGATATGGGTTACATTCCAGTGTAAAACAATAACCCTGATCTTTGGCAAGATACCTCACTTACAAAAGCTTGCTTGGTTAAGAAGAGGGTTTAGTAAGAGTAAGTCTACAACAGTTGAGAAGTGGAAATGAAGCGTGGATTCCTCAGGAGTAGAAACTGTGATCTCTACTTTTTGTGTATGTGTTTGGGTCCTTCCTATATCCTGGGGCAGTACTAGGCAACACTTGTATTGAATTACTAATGAAAATTACACAGTGATGGGAAAATTAGTTCAAACATAGGTCTGGCTGATAGTAGATTAATAGTAGTAGGGTTCAACCTAACAGATATCTCTGGAGCACCTAATATTAGTATGTTTATTCTTCCATTCAGTAAATATTTACTGAGGGTATGCTCTATGCCAGGATAGGGTTCTACGAGCTACCTTGGAAAACAAAATAAGGGATGAAGTCCCTTCCCTCAAGGAGATTATTGTCTTAACTCCAGTCACTTCAGGAACCACTGGGGAAATTCAAAGATGCATAACATTCCTGAGTCACTTATAATGTAGCTGGGGAGATGAGACAGAGCAACATGAAAAACAAGCTCTACTTAACAGCATAAGATGACCCATGAGAAATGCCAAATGACATATGTACATAATAACCACCGTAGGAGTTTTGAGGAAGGAGATTAGAAAAGGCTTATGGACTCGATGAGAGTCATCAATAAGCAGCACAGAGGAAAGCTCACCTTCCCAAGGGGCAGTGATATCAAAGTTTGAGGGGAGCAAGAAAAGTAAGCACTCACAGGAATGGGATGGAATGCAATGTACCTGTACGTTGGGGTTTGTGAAGCTCTGCATACAGTTGGTTCTACATGTTTATTTGAATGATAATACAATCTTAATAACTGTGCCTTATTCAGTAAAGTATCCCGCAGTACTTGGAGAAGTACTTGTATACTTAGAAATAGTTGAGTGCTTTTGAGGAGGGAGCACACTCAAATCTCTGTGGATTTCATGATAAGTTGCAAAGTCAGTTTACTCTGAGGAGTTTGTTACATAAACAAATGTATCCCCTCAACTCCGGTTGTTAAGTAGACTTGAACAAACTGTATTTACTTACCTAATTGTTTCCTAACATTTTCACTATGCTGTGCACAAGTCCTGGGGGCGGGGGGGGGGGGGGGGCGGGGGCTATAAAAAAGAGTTGGGAGTGAGGGTGGAAAGGGGTAGATGTGGTCAATTCCCAGACAGAGTCAGGCTACCAGACCCCTTTATGAATTGTTAGCCCTGCTTCTCTCTCTTACTGCTTTACTGAGGAGCAGTGACTTGCTGAAAGGAGCCCAGAAACCATTGGCAAAATTGCAGTCAGCTCTTTCCCAGCCATTTCATTTTGACACTTCATTATGAGGCTAAGATTTAAGTCTGTCAAGCGCAGAAGAAGCAATTCAAGACTGACTTTTGATACTGGGGCCAAAGTGCTCCTAAAATAAAACATGTTCATTTCTGAGCAGAGAATGTCAGAGAAGACCCTCTTTTTCTTCTGTTTACAAACTAGATCTCCAGCCTGGAACACAGAATACCTGGATGGGATTTCCATCTGTGAGAGAAAGAAAGGACACTCTCTGCCTGGGTGTCTTCCACCGCTCTCCCCTCTTTGTTTTTGTTTGTTCGTTTGTTTGTTTGATGGGCTTTCTCCCTTCATCCAACTCAGTGACTGCTCTTTTTTTTCTTTTTTTTAGATTTTATTTATTTATTTGACAGAGAGAGACACAGCGAGAGAGAGAACACAAGCAGGGGGAGTGGGAGAGGGAGAAGCAGGCTTCCCGCGGAGCAGGGAGCGCGATGCAGGGCTCGATCCCAGGACCCTGGGATCATGACCTGAGCCGAAGGCAGATGCTTAACAACTGAGCCACCCGGGCGCCCCACAGTGACTGCTCTTGAGCAAGTTAGATGTCTCCTGTTCAGAAACAGGGTTTAATTCCCAGGAAATGAGGACTGAATTAAAACTGTACGGTGTCACCATACCGCCCATGGGCTATTGTCTACCCATTATCTAACATTCTCTTCCCTTCCTGACAGCCCTCGCTTTCGTTTGGGGATCCATGGGATTCTGGGGTGCTGATTCCGCCCCCAGCTCCATAGGAGTGGAGCACTGTTCCCTAAGCCCATCCGCAAATCCCATCCCTGTCCCCTCCCTCCTTCCCATAATGATCGGTTTCATTGTCAGAGTAGGTTTCAAGCAGTGCCATTAACTACCTAGGTTTCTGTTGAGACTTCTGGGTCAAACAATCATTCCCTGTGGGATGTGAATTACAGAAGCACTTGGCCCCCAAAACTGTTGGCAGCTATTTTGAGACAATGAAAGCAGGCAGTGTTAGGATGCAATTGGTCCCGTAGAGCAGAGCAGTGGAGGCAAACTGGCTTCCTGGGAACATCGCTGAGCTGCTGGAGTGATCTCTGCCTGAGGCCAGCACCAGCTCTGTTTTTCAGGTACATAAAGCAATGCATTGTCAACTTCCTCTAGATCAGTGATTCTTAAAGTGTGATCCCCAGACCACCAGTAGTAACACTACCCGGAAACTTGCAAAAAATGCACATTCTTGGGCCCTTCCCCAGACCTACCAAATCAGAAACTTTGGGAGAGGGGCACAGCGATCTGTGTTTTAACAAGCCTTCCAGGGGATTCTGACGCAGGTGAAAGTTTGACAACCACGAGCCCAGAATACTTTGCCTCCTGCCACCAGACTGATTTTATTTTCCTAAAAGACTTCAAAGGCGGATGAGGTTATGGGGAAAGTCCTTCCCCTTTAAGTCGAGTAGCCATGCATGCATGAAGGATGCCTGTGAAAGTCTGTCAGTCTGCTGCCTTCCCTGAATTCCAGGGCGAGATCATTCTATTTTCATAAGCCGCAGCTGGTAGCAACTCGGAATATACTTCAGAGCCCCTGCTCCTGGCAACCGTGGCAGTTTTCCAGCCCATGCTGCCATTGCCCGCAATGACTTCTAGTAGGGGGGGAAAAAAAAGCAAGAGATTTTCTTTTCAAAAGCAAGAGAGGGAGGCAATATCAAAATCAAGACGTTAAACTAAAATCTTTCGCTTCCCGTAATCTTAGCATTCCTTTTGTACCCCCTGTTTCTTTCTGATGGAGCCCTGTTCTAGACCCCTGGCCTTTTAGAGTGACCCTCTACTCCTCGCTCTCTTTGGCCTTCCATGATGGCTCCCACCTCCTAAACCAGGTCTTCATGCCCCACCATCAGGTGACATTAGAGTTTCCTAAGCCTTCTCCCAGGCTCTATTATCTCTTCTTTCAGTCCATCTTACTCGCTACCCACAGATTCATTGTCCTCAAATAATCATCTCAGACTCTCACTCTCATGAAGACTCTGGTGCTGCTGTCTGCAGGCCAAGCTCAACAGCCTAGAACTCCAGGCTCCCCACAATTTGATGCTGATTTACACCTTTCTGAACACGGGGAGGCGCCTCCCAGAGGGTCTACTAGCCCCCAGCTACAGTGCCCACTCCTTCGCTTGCTCATACGCTCTGCTGCGTGTGGAATGCCCGCACTCAACATGTCTACTTAGTTAAAGCCCGTTTCCTTCCGTCCAGGTCTAGCTCAGGTTTGACCTCCACCAGAGCTATCACCGATTGCTCCAGATCACAGCACTCTCTGCAGACTCCAAACGTCCACAGCCCTTTACTCATAGTGTCACCCTGTCTCTCCAGGTGCATTCCTAGCGTGAGATCTGTTGCGTCAGACTCTGTGCTCTCGAGGTCTGTGTAGTGCTCCCTGAATATTTATCTACAAACGGGGGAAACACCCAAGTACTAAGTATTTAAGGAATTTTCAACATGTTTATATTTTAATGAGCTTTATTTGTAGATGTGCAATGTTGTCCTTGTAAGTGTAAAAAATAAATTTGTTATAAATAATATGCCTCATTATTTTCACTGTTTTGACATAAGAGCATTAAGAAAACTTTCCTAACATGAACATAGCTCAGTTTGCTTCTGTAAAAATACAAATTTATGAAGCCCATTCTCTTTGACATAAAAGCTTTTAATGTTACAGGGACGTATAAGTTAGTCTCTGATATTTTAGGCATCAAACAAAATTCAAGAACATGGTAAAGGCTTGAAAACACTTTTTTGCGATTGTAGAAAAAATGACTAGTGAAAAATTGAGGTAATTTTCCTACAATATTCAAATATTTGGCTTTGGAGAAAAGTATCATTTTTAGTACATATTACTTACTATCTGTATTATTAATTCACTTTACCTTTCCTCTAACTAGGATATCAATCAAAATGCTTAGAACTAATATGAAATATGTTAACTTTATGCTCTTTTAATAACTAATACTAACTTAATAACTAAACTGACTTAACCCTCAAAGATAAAAGAAGAAAAATATTAAAGCCTCTCTCAAGCACAGTATGAATTGGTCAAAAGCCTCCATTATCATTTTACCTTATGGGAAGTGCAGTTTTATGATTTTAAAGAACATCGCAGGGACTCAAGTTAGTTAAGGAAATGCCTTACAGATTGTAGTGGGAAGCTCTTTTAATGAATTCATATTTTTCCAATTATTTCTAATCAAAATATATGTAGTATTGCTAACATGTCTACTCTTAAATAGCTTGTGGACATTGGTCTTGCTTACGTTCTCCTCTGCGTGTAGAGGAACTATATGTTGAGGGTCTTCTGTGTGTCATAATGCTTAAAGAAATGGCGTTTCCACACACAGGTAGAATTTTTCAATAAGCGCAATTTATTCACTAGGTCTACAGCACATTCAGGATCAAAGACCCAACACTGTCACTCAAGTCCTCCATGAACAGGATCATCCTGCTCCGCCAGCTTCATCTCTCATCACCTCACCTCCTAGAGGGCAGGGCGTGAAGCCCTCACAGGCCCCTCGATGTTCCAGGGCCCCTTGTGAGCCTGTACCTTGGAACAGGTTGTCCCTCTGCCCCGAGTGCCTTCCTCACTGGAACGGCCGCCACCCTGCCCCCCAGAGTGTTCATTGTCCTTAGGCTGCGGCAGTGCGTCTGCGGAAGTGCCAACGGTCCTCTATGCCAGGGGGCCCAGCTCATAGCTGTGCACTGCTCTCTAGCAGACTACTGTCAGACAAGGGCTAAAGCCAGAGCTGCAAGGAAATAGGATTTGTTTGGATCAAGTGGAACCTGCGAAACTGTTTTGTAATTCACAAATGCAGAACTAGCCAGTATTTCTCCAGTGCTGCCAGATAAGCGTTGAATACTAGGAAGCCACGGCTTATTCTACCCCCCAAAACGTCAGCTGGGTTATCTGAGAAAGGGATCTCATCTAATTTACTTCCAGGAAAGGAGCTAAGTACTGAGAATTGGTCATTTTAGTAACTGGGAACTTTGATACTGAATTTCATATGTTGGTTGGTGCCCGCCACATTTTTCATTTGATATGGGGGCTCGTCCCCTCCATGAAATACTTCATGGGGCTTTAGAGATAGCACACTTTTTTTGTTATTCTACCCCTTTGGCTACTCCTTCCCAGTGTCCTTTGCTCATCTTTCTCACCTTCCTGACCTCCAAATTTTGGAGTGTCCCAGAACTCTCTTGTCAAATATCTAGGTGTTTTGTTTTGTTTTGTTTTCCTATTTAACTTACTCCCTTAGTGAGTTCTCTTGTCCTATGGCTCTAAATAATCCTCTGAATAGTGATGACTCTGTATTTATATCTCATATGTCTCCAGTCCTGACTGAATCTCTCCTAAACATCAGGCCCATTTACCCAGCTTCCTCTCAGCGTCTGCACAAGCTATGCTTAACAGGTCCAAAACTGAGCTCCAGAAGACAGCTCCCCAGCCTGCTCTTCCTTCGTCCTCACTATTGCTGAGGTAAATAGCAACTGTATCCTTGCATTTCCTCAGGTCAAAAACTCATTGTCAAGTCAAAAGTCATTCTTGACTCTGTCTTCCACATCTATAATGCAAAGCCCATCATCCAGAGTATATCTGGTCTCTCACTCTGGCTCATGACTATTTCTGCCATCCTGGTCCAATTCACCACTTTCTATTGTCTGGAAAATTGTAATGGCTTCCTAATCAGTCTTCTGGCTTCCATCTCCATCACCTTATGTTTTATTCTCAATGTAGCAGTCAGAATAATTCTTTTGAAACCTAAGTCATGTTTGCTCAAAACTGTCCAATGGCTTCCCATCTCACCGAATAAAATGTAGTCTTCAGCATGCCCCGTGGGCTCTCTACTTGCCCGGGGTAGTTCTCTGACAGCACCCCCCCACCCCGCCTGTTCATGCTCATCTCTGGCAATACTAGCCTCCTCGCTGTTCCTTGTTCTCCTTTCTCTGGATTTGTGCACCTTCTACTCCTTCTGCATGGAATTCTGTACTCAGATATTCATATGGCATATTCTCCTCCTCCATTCCAGTATCTGCTGAAATGTCACCTCCTCAGGGAGACCTTCTTCACCTGAAATATTGTAGCCCACACCATCACTCCATTTCCCCTTATCTTGTCTTACTTATTATTTTAGTACTTATTCTTGTACTTTATATATGCATTCCTTGTTTATTTGCTGCCTACTTACTACCTCTCTGCTAGAATTTAAACATTTTTATGAAAGCATGAGTGGTTTTTTGTTTACAAAAGTAAATTTTGTTAAGTTCAGCACTTAGAAGAGCATAAAGCACAGAAAGACAATAAACATTGAATGGATAAATGAATGGAGATCTCATTTTATTATAAGAACTCTTAGTATGTAACCTAAGTGACAGTTCACTGTTCCCATAACTGTTACTCTTTTCCAGGAGGGGTAAGGAGGAAGGGCATGTGACTTATATCCACACCCTTAGTTGTCTCCTCCAAATTAGACCCTTAGTGTTCTGCGATGTTTGCCACGGTCCCAGCTCCTCGTGGAAGATGAGGTGCTGTTTCTTTCACACTATCTCCAGCAGAGAGAGGAAAGTGAGGCTCTTTACACTTTCTGTTATTTTATTATCTTTATTCTTCACAGCACTGTTGTACAGGACCATGTAAGTGCATCACTCGTGACTGCATTTAAAAAAAATTATACAGGTTTGATTCCAGACCATTGTAACAAAGCAATTATAGCAATAAAAGTGAGTCAAATGAAATTTTTGGGTTCCCAATGCATATAAAAGCTATGTTGTGGTCCGTTAAGTGTGCAATAGCATTATATCTAAAAAATGCATGTACCTCACTTTAAATACTTTATTGCTAAAAACATGCTAACTATAAGCTAAGCTGAACTTTCAGCTAGTGGTAATCACTGATCACAGATCACTATAACGAGTTTAATAATAATGAAGGTTTGAAATACTGTGAAAATTACCAAAATGTGATTGAAAGACACAAAGTGAGCAAATGCTGTTGGAAAAATGGTGCCCATAGACTTGCTCAATGCAGGGTTGCCACAAATCTTACATTTGTAAAAGAGGCAATATCTGTGAAATGCAATAAAACGAGGTATGCCTGTGGTATAGTCAGGAAAATATAAAAATTGTACATGGGCGCCTGGGTGACTTAGTCGGTTAAGCGTCCAACTTGTGATTTCAACTCAGGTCACGATTTCCTGTATCTTGAAATTGAGCCCACATCAGGCTCCTTGCTCAGCCCACTCAGCCAGGAGTCTGCTTGAGATTCTCTCCCTCTGCTCCGCCTCCTCCACTCATGTGCATGCGTGCTCTCTCTCTCTCTCAAATAAATAATCTTTTTGTAATTGTACATAAAATATTTCTTTTACCAGGGCACCTGGGTGGCTCAGTCAGTTAAGTGTCTGACTCTTGATTTTGGCTTGGGCCATGATCTCAGGGTTGTGGGATTGAGCCCCAAGTTCCCCAAGGGCTCATACCCCCCAGGGGCTCCATGCTCAGTGCAGAGTCTGCTGGAGATTCTCTCTCTCCCTCTCCTTCTGCCCCTCCCACTCATGCTCTCTCTCTCTCAAATAAATAAAATATTTAAAATATATATATTTCTTTTACCATAACTCAGGAGAAAAGCACTTCACAGGAAGTCCCCTGTCTCTACCATTGACTCCTGTACACAGGGCTGTGCTTGTCTGTTGCAAAATAGCCACAGAGCAGTCACCCTCCTTTTCACTTCATCCCTTCCCCAAGGACTTGCTTTCACTCCAAGATCCATCACGTTTCTCCATTAGTTCATTTCTCAAAGTCTGAGAATAATACTGGGGTCTTTCAGCACGACTGTCCACCATTGTCCTTGGGACTTGAGTTCCTCGAAACAGTTCTTCATGGGCATGGCACATCATCTCCCCCTCTCTTAAGATATGCTCAAAATGTGGATTCTTCAAATTCTGTACTGAATAATTGACTGCCATTTCAATATCTCTCTTTCTCTTTCACATAGCTCTCAAAGACAATCATCTTTCTTTCCTATGAGATGGTTTGCTCCAAATCTATAAAGAGGAAATTAAATATTTACCCCCAAATTATCAAGGCTGGTCTCTCTCACGATAAAGTTAGGGTATTATTATAAAGAACAATGGGAGGAACACTGAACATGTATTTCTTATAAATCACAGCATCACAGCTGAAGTTTTGCCAGCCTTTGTCCTGGGCCCATTTCTCTATCAGTCAATTAAAAAAAAAAAAAGAAAGAAATATAAACAAACAAACAAAAGAACAATGTTTACTTTTTTCTTTCAAATCTTCAAAGATGTTGTTCTGTTGTCTTCTGGCTTTCATAATTTCTGATGAGAAGTCCGTGATCATTTTAATTAAATAATTAATTAATTTGCTTATTTATTTATTTATTTATTTATTTACTTTTTATTTATTGTGTTCCCCCCCCCCCCGGCTGCTTTTAAGATTTTTTTTCTTTGTCACTGTTTTTTAACAATTTGATTATGATTTGCCTTGGA